CAGGAGTGTCAAAGAATTTGTAGACATGTTTCACAACCACCACAGAGAAGACCAGTTTACCCCTCATTTGCCTTGAGACCCCTGAGGTTGGAGGGGGAAGAACTATGCCCAGAGGCATCCAGCCTGCACTGGCAGCACTGGAGCCCAACCCAGATCCTGGACCTTTGGCAGCCTGCTTGGAAGTGACCTCATTTTCCCTTCCTGCCTCTCCTTTCACAGTAGATGGAGGCTGCCACTCTTTGGGAACCTTGCTTTGTAGCAGAGCCCACCCTGAACTTAGGTCACATGTAAACAGCAGGAGGGCTGGGAGACCCACATGCTGGCCGTCAAGCAAAAGTCCAGTTGGACTATTGTACTTTGTTCCAGAGACCGCCATCGAAGCAAAGCCTCTCATGGTTTAGAGAGAGTTTGTGTCGCATTTCCAGTTTCCAGTCCTATATGAAATAATAGCTTTGCCTTGGCACAGCTATAGCTGCCAAGGAGGTGAGAGTTGTAAGATTTGTACCCCAAAGTAATTATTTTCACCATTACTGTGAAGTTCAATTCCAAAAAATAGAATTTAGCTATAAAACTCTGAAGCATTTTACCTCCAGCTGAAAATCTAAAATAGAATTTTGCTTGAGCATGAGTAAAATGTGTCTGATCGTTTTTGTTAATTAAGTTTATTGGTACAATTTAAATATACATAGTTATCACATTCATCATATGGAACGTGGTATATCTTGATTCTTATTTTTTTCCCATTCCCCTCCCCTCCCTTCAACCTTTCTTCCCCTTTTTTTTACAAAAGCTTTGTTTCCATTTATTCTTTTCTCATTTTTTCCTTCTTCCCTTTCTTCCTTTGCCCTCTCCCTTCCTTGTGCCACTTCCCATTTAAATTTTTTCTTCCTATTTCACAATATCTGTTATATATTTTGATCCTTATTTATGCTTTCAGTTTCTGTCTCACACCAGAGAAAGTATGATATTTACATATATGTGTCTTGATTTATTTCACTTCAGAGTGTGATCTCAAGGTGCATCCATTTACCTAGAAATGTCTTCAATTTGTCATTCTTTATGGCTGAGTAGTATTCTGTTGTATAAAAAAAATTCACATCTTCTTTATCCATTCATTGGCTGATGAGCATTTGGGCTGTTTCCAAGATTTAGCTGTTACAACCTGTGCTGCTGTACACATGGGTGTGCATATATTGCTGTGGTGTGATGATTTTAACTCTTTCTGGAAATACAAAGAAGGGGGATGGCTGGGTCAAATGGAACCTCTAGCCCGAGTTTTTTGAGGAATCTCCATCCCAGTTTACACAGTGGTTGCACCAGTCTGTACTCTCACTAACAGTGGAGAAGGGTTCCTTTTTTCCCACACCTCTGCCAGCATTTGTTACTGGTTAATTTCTTAATAATAGCCATTCTTTCTGAAGTAAGCATTGTTGTGATTTGCATCTTCAGTACTCTGAAAAAGGAGATAGAAGAGGATATTAGAAAATGGACAGCTATTTCTTGCTCATGGGTAGGAAGATCCAACATAGTAAAAATGGCCATACTCCCAAAATTGTTATACAAATTTAATCAAAATACCAGTATCATACCTCACAGAATTAGAAAAAAATTTTCCTAAAACTCATTTGGCACCAGAAGAGATGTATAATAGCAAAAGCAACTCTGAGCAAGGCAAAAAGCATCACAATCCCTACTTGAAATTATACTGCAAAGTTACTGTGGTAAAAACAGCATGGGGCTGGCAAATAACAGAACCGAGGATCAGTGGAACAGATTAGAAGATGCAGAAACAACTTCAAACACACTCAGCCACCTCATCTTTGACAAAGGGGCCAAACACCTTCACCAGAAGAAAGACAGACTCTTTAATAAATGGTGCTGAAAAAACTGGCTATCTACATGCCGAAGATTAAAACTAGACCCATGTGTCTCACCATGCACTAAACTAAAATCAAAATGGATCAAAGATCTAAATATTAAAACAGAAACGCTAAATCTGCTGGAAGAGGGAATAGGTAGAACCCTTGAAGACGTAAGTATAGGTAAAGACTTGATGAACAAAACCCCAGTTGCATGGGAAATACCACAAAGAATCAACAACTGGGATCTCATCATATTAAAAAGCTTCTGCACAGCAAAAGAAACCACCAACAGAGTGGGGAAAAAATATTTGCTGGCTGTTACTCAGACAAAAATGTGATAACTAGAATATATAAAGAACTGAAAAAAATCAAAGCCCCCAAACTTAAAGACCCAATCAAAAAATGGGCATCTGAGATGATTACATACTTCTCAGTTGAAGAAACACAGTAAATACATACACACAAAAAAAATGTTCAACAGCATTGGTCATTTGATAGGTGCACATGGGTGTTTGTTTCGGCCAGCATGGTAGAATGTTCTGTTGGGATTTTCTTGCTTCTTGCTCTTGTGTTCAGAAATGGTTTATAATGAGGTCAGGGACTGGAGGTATGGGGGGTGGGAAAAAGACAGAAAAAGGAATGGACTTTTTAACAAATCCTTACTAGATAGATGCCAAACACAATGCTAATTCATCTCCATGCTTTACAGCCTTGATCCCTATGCAATGCACTAGACATATGACTTTGAATAAGCTAACCTCTCTGCTCCCCAGCTACTTCTTCTGTAAAACAGTAAAAATAATGCTTTCTATTTCTTAGTGCTAGTGTAAAATTAAGAGAGATAATGTCTGTAAGGTACTTCGTACAGCTTGGCATGCAGTAAGGCCATAAATGTGAGCTTTGGTTAATTCTCACGTCTGTGTTTAAGGCCAGGGGTAAGGCGCTTAGTAACCATATGGTCCAGCTATAGGTGCAGAGGTGAAACTCTAAAGCCCTTGCTGTGTCTACTATGTTATGTTAGCATCCAGGCTGCTGAGCCCAAGGCTTTCTTGATATGCACAGCGGGTGCTGAGTAGCTCTGGAGGCCTGCCTTATAGGTCTTAGAGCAGGAACATTATAAAACCCAAGGCCAGGATTCTGCCAATCCACTTAAATGCTCTGTAGAGAGCAGAGGGCAGAGAATGTTGCAGGTAGAGTGAATAGTTGAGTAGAGGCCTTGAGGTCAGGACTTAGATTGGGTTTGAGGAGTTAGTGAGAAACTATTGTGGTCAGAACAGAATGGGCCAAGAAGAGAGTGGGAATGAGATGAAAGGTTGCAGAGGAAGGCAGGGTCAGATCTGGATCCTGTTCATTGTGGAATGGAGAATGTCAGAGGTGAGGGAAACTGGGGAATCCCATGGCCCAGTTTCTGTTGTGCAAACATCACTCTGGCTGTGTAGGAAGCCAGCCTTGGGTTAGGGATGAGAGGGTATAGGAGCACAGTGAAGGTCTCTGCAGGTGTCCAGGTGAACCGTGATAGAGCTCAGTGGTGCACACAGAGGAGCGGGTAGGCAAATGCAAGCTCTATTTTCTAAGTAGAAATGAGAAGACCTGGGGACAAGTTGTATGTGAGTGGTGGGAGTGGAGGAGGATCAAGAATGACTCCAGGTTCCCAGCTCCAACAGCCTAGAGAGATGGTGGCGTCTTCCCTGAGCTGGGAAAGCCTGGGCAGAAGCAGGCTGGTGACTGAACACTTGGAAGTTTGCAGTGCTAACACCACAAAATGAGCAGTGCGGTTTGCAAATCCAGAGCTTTAGCAAGGCTTGGGGCTTTTTCAGTGATGGACAAATATTATATGAGGGAAAGGATGAAAACTTCTAGGGAGCAAATATGGAATAGGACTGGATCCTGGGGTAGAGTCTGTCACATAAAGGGGGCGCCTGTCTGGAGCCTCCAGCCAGGTTGCAGAGAGCCAGAGGTTGTGATGTCTAGAAGCCCCAAGGAAAGTAGTTTGAGAAGAAGGAAGTTGGAAGAGGACAGAAAGGTCCACGGGGCCTGGCAGGGTGAGGGTCACTGAGGACCTTGTCTGGCTACAGCACCTTGCTTTTGCCTCGTCACTGTGCCACCTCCCAAAGCACATCTGATCGCCACCTGCACCTGGACCAGCGGAGTCTGAGCCTTCAGGACACAGGCCAGAGCCTGGCCCTCTGTCTCTGAACAAAGCCTCACCCAGGACCACTCTTTAAATGGGCAGCAGGCTCTGTGCTGTCAGGAGACAGGCTTCCCGCTGGTGGTGCTGTGCAGGTGGCATTCCGAAGGCACTAAGAGAGCTTTGGTGCATCCAGTGGCCCTGCTTCTCAGAGTGTGCTCCATTTGGGCCCTGCCTTTTCTGCTCACTTCAGTGCTACTCTGGTTCTGGCTTCCCATCACAGAGAGAAGTGCTGCTCTTTGATTTTGGTGAATGAATGCTGTTGTGCTGTTCAGTAGACCCTAGCATTTCCATCAGGTGTCCACTGCCTTTCTTTGCTCAGAGAAACCTTACAGAGCGTTTTGCTAATCCCTAAGGAGCCTCATCCATGGGGCCAAGTCTCGCTCTTATACTCCATGTCCTCTGCAAAGTCTGTTTGCTTTTTGTATGGTTTCTGAAAATATTTAATTTTTTAAAAGGAAGAAAAAAAACAGGAAGTGACCTTTCAAGTATATTTGGAAAATAGTTTGGAGCTGTAATGGAATCTGCCTAACGGATGAGGACTAATAGCTACAGACTTGGAACAGACCGTGTAGCTCTTGGCAGAGCCCGCAGCCTCTTCAGTTTACAAACTGAGGAGAATAATAAAGCCCAAGGGAGTAGTGGCTTCCTGTGGGGAAACCTGACATGCCCCGGTCAAGCACCTGCTGGTGCTGCAGCCCCTGACCCAGGCTAGAGGGCCTGAGGCCAGCACATATATAAGCTCCTCCCTCGAAGTTTGGGCTCTTCCCTCCCATTCTGGGTGTTCAGTCACATGCCCTACAAGCATGCAGACTTCCACGGAGGCCCCAAATCTCCTGGGGTCTCAAGTTGAGATAGAAGATGTTAGATGGGAGATGTTAGACTTGGATTGGCTGTTAGCTCTGCCTGGACCATGTTCTACCCACTTTTTCTGTGATTCTATCCCACAGCCACCTCCTCAAGGAAGCCTTCTCTGACCATAGCACCTCGAATTGAACCATCTGCACAGCTGAGAACCCTCTCCTCTCCTTGCATAGCACACACCATAATCTGCCATGAGAGACTGGTTAGCTTGTTCAGTGGCTTTTTCTTGTCAGATTGTAAATGTCTTGTTTAGTCTCCAGTCAGTACATCTCACACCTGGCACAGTGCCTGGCATAGAGAGGGTGCTCAGTAGACAAGGAATGAATGAATTGTTATTACTGGAAGAGATGTAGAGATTGCATTTCAACCTTTATTATTCAGATGGGGGAAAGGAAGCTAGGAGAGAGGAAGTTATTCTTAGGAAGTGGACCTTTGGCCACTGTGATGCAGTACTGCACATCCTTTGCTCCTTCTGCCTTGGAATCTAGAGCATCTACCATGTACTGATTCATCAGACAGTCATTAAACCTCAGCTGTGTTCTAGGCCTCCAGGTATTACAGTATTCATGCCAGCCGGGTCACCCACTTTTGTGGAACTTAGCACCTAGCAGCAGAAAGCACAGAGGGAGGTCTAAGTTCTGGGCTTCCATAGCACCACTAACAGAGTAAAAAAAACAAAGAGTTAAATGCCCAAAGGAAATTTTTACTGACAACTCACCCCACACATGGACCACACTAATGTTTTATTGTCTACTTCTCACATTCCATGTAACTTAGCCTGCTCTTTAAGCATCATTGTCCCCCTTGATCTTCCCAGTAGCCCATGAATAGGAGCTGTTACTGCTGCTCCCAAGGTGCTGTGGTAGAAGTTGTCCAGTCTCACAGTTAGTAGGGAGCTGGACTGGACTGCAGCACTAGATCCCTTCTGCCACAGTGCACCCCTGCCTCAGAGATCTGGGGTGTCACCCCAGTCCCCTGAGGGCAGTGCGGTATGGGAGAAGGATCTCTGGACTAGAGTTTGGACCCCCAGATTCAGGAACCATGGACAAGGCACTGTCCCTTTCTTAGCCTCCATTTCTCTAACTGAAATGATTGTCTGGTTGAGCTCTGGGGTCCCTTTCAGTTATGTTCTACCACAAACTCTTCATTAATTGAATAGCTATTTCCTGAGAATTTGCTGTGGGCCAGGCCCTGTGATATTCCTGAATGCCTCAAAGCTATCCCTTGGCTGGAGATATGTAACAGGCCATGGGATATAAACAACCAGAAGAGAAAAGACAGAATACCCCTGTGTCAGGACAGATAAATAAATATTTATTGAGAGCATTTTTTGTTTTCTGAGACAGTGTCTTCCTATAAATCACTATAGGCTGAACTAGAACTTTCAGTGATCCTCCTGCCTCAGCCTGAGTTCTGGGGTTATAGGCGTGTGCCACCACACCCAGCTGATCTGCTTTGTTCTTTTTTTCTTTCTTTGTTTTTTGAACAGGGTTTTACTATGTAGTTCAGGCTTGTCTTGAAATTGTGGTTATCCTCCTGCCTCAGTCTTCTAGTGCTGAGATTACAGACATGCATTTCTATGCCTGGCTGTATCTTGTTCTTTTTAATCACTGAAGACTTTTGAGCTGGGCATGAATGAGCTGACTGCCTTTTAGAAATGCCCCCAAAGGGAAGGCAGAGATCCTGAGGATGATTTGGGGAGGGAGAAGTGGGAAATAGATAAGTAATCTAGAGGTAAGAAGACCAGATAAGAGAAAGTTAAGACCAGATAAGAGAACTGGGCCAGGCGGAGATAATAACTAACCGACCAAGGCCTGGCTGTGTGGAGTAAATGGGAGGTAGGACTTGCCATATTTTGCAGAGAAATTATCAAAGCTGGTGATTGAGCCTGTGGTTCAGGATCCCCGACACCCCTTTCCTTCTGAGGAAGAAGCTGAGGTGAGGCATGAGCTAAGGGTTTCAGGGTTTTGATGTGGGCAATGGATTGTGGAAGGGGCTTTTGACTAAGAGAAAGAAGGAATGAGAGTACTGGAGGAGAGGGAGGTAATTCTGTTCTCTGTCCTGTTGGATACCTGCATCGTCACAGTGAGAGAATCAGTGCTGAATGAATGGAAGGTGATGTCACAGGAGAGGGTGAGACGCATACAAGACGAGAGGAGACACCGCAGGAGGGAGCAGAGGATGGCGGGGTGGGGGGGTGGTTCTGGTTCTCCAGAACTAGGAGAAAGATATTCTGTGAGGTTGAAGAAAGTCATTTTACTCTTTACGCCCCCGTTTCCTCATTTCTAAAGTAGGGATTTACAGTAGCACCTACTCACACGTGCGTTGAGTTACACAAGGGAACACGTGCAGGATCTAGCCTTGCTGGTCAGGAGCAGGAGTTATGTGTCATTTTACTCAGTAAGTGCGAAGTGCACATGTGCCAGGCATTGGACTAGCACTTCAGGATACTCTCACCCTCATGGGAAGGGGATCATTATTATTATTACTATTATTTTTGCTACCGGGGATCAAACTCAGGACCTTGCACTTTCAAGGCAGGCAGCAGGACTACTGAGCTAAATCCCTGGCCTGGGAAGGAGATTATTAAAGAAATTAAAATGTGTAAAACTCACATATGTATAATTAATATAAAATGATGTTAGGGCTGGGATGTGGCTCGGTGAGAGTGGCTAACAGGTGTGAGACCCTATATTTTATCTCCACCAGCACAAAACAAACACACTACTCAAGGACATTTGACCAGTAAGAGACCAAAGGGTTCAGAAACAGACCCAGATACACATTTTTTATATAATAATGGTGAATGTTCAAGTCAATGAAGAAATGATTGGTTATTTCACAAATGATTTTGAGATAGGTGCAAAAAATTAAGGTGGATCTGTAACTCATACTTTGTAGAATAATAATCTAAGATTTAAATATGAAAAATGAAGCCATGAAAGTAATAGAAATGAATGAGAGAATTCATTACTAATCTTAGAGTGAGGAAGACATTTCTAAGTATGCTCCAAAACCCAGAAGCCATAAAATAAAATATGGATCCGTTTGTATGAATATAAAACTGTGTTGGGAGAGAAATGCTAAAAAACAGTCAAAGATCAACTCCTCTTAAGCAAAAGATTCCCATAAAAAGTCCTGGGGTGGTCGAAATAACTCAGCTGGGGAGAGCATTAGACTGAAGAAATCCTACACATCAATAAGAAAAAAACCCTATAGTCCATTTAAAAAGGGAAAGAGGGATTGAAAAGAAAATGCACATTTTTCATGTTGTGCTTTACTCACAGCAACGCAAACTGAAACAACCAGCTTCTGTTTTCACCCTTTAGATTACAGGCGAAACAGCATTGGTAAGGACGTGGCGTGGCACTGTGCTCCTCACACAAATCTAAGGGGAAGAGCTGTGGTTTGAGCGTGCCCTCGAAATGCGGGAGTCGCCAGAGAGATAGTATTGAAGGGGCGGGGTCTTTAAGAGCTGATGAGATCACGCGCTCTTGTGGAAAAAAAGCAGATTGAAGATGTGTCATGTACGAGTGCCAGCTCATCGTGAACGCATTCATTATGCGCGGCAGACAGGTACCTGACTGAGCATCCGCCCCTCCTGCGCACCTACCTCCCACACGCTGAGAGCACAGCGTTCTCCCGGAACAGGAACGCAGCGGGCAGCCCTGAGCAGATTCCAGCACCTTGATCTTTGACTTCCCAACTTCCAGAACTGTGAAAAAATTTTGTATTCTTTGCAGATTACCTAGTGTAGATATTTTGCCTTAGCACAAAATGGACTGAAAGAATTTTAAAAGCCTCTCAGGAGGAAAATTTGGCAAAGCTTAATCACAATAAAAAAAATTCACAGATCCTTTGATGTGGCAGTTTTACCTCTTTTTTCTTGGTGGTACTGGGGATTTAACCCAGGACCTTCACACATTCCCTACAATTTTGAGACAGGATTTCACTAAGTTGCTGAGTTGTCTGGGCTGGGTTCAAACTTGTGATCCTCCTGCCTCGGCCTCGCAGAGTGCTGAGATTACAGATGTGCCCACCACATCCATTGTAATCTTACTTTTATGGAAACAATCTCAGAGTCCATCAGTAGGGAAGTAATTAAATCAGTTGACAGCAGTGAGACAACAAAATATCACGCCATTGATAAAAAGAAAAATTTAAGTCTATTTGGACCTTGGATTTTTTTGTTTCCCCAAGTGTTTTGATCTAATCACAGTGAGTGGTTTCAGGTAGTCTGAAATTATTTCTAAGACTGTTTTTAAATGAAGAAAGCAAGGTGGAAAATAAAATCTTTTTTTAAATAAAAGAAAAGGGGAAGGAGGGAATTTATATATTACATAGACTACCTCTGGAAGTGCACAAAGCATCTTGGAGAGGCTGTGTGGGATGGGGCAGTAAGAAGACTGCGTGCTGTGACTTTCCTTTTGTCTTTCGGGTTTTATACTGTATGCTCACACACTTAGTTAAGAGGCTGGGGATGTGGCTCAGTGGTAGCCCGCCTCGCATGCATAAGGCCTTGGGTTTTGTTCCCAGCACCATAAATATAAATAAAGAAAGAAATAAATGCTTTCACTGTAAAAAGTTTAGAAAACATAAAAATATTTTAAATCACTTAAATTTTTTTGGGTACTGGAACTCAGAAACTTGCACTTGTGAGGCACGCAGGGGAACCACTGAGCTAAATCCCCAGCCCAAGTTTAAATTTACTTTTGTGTGTGTGTGTAGCACTGGGGATCGAACTCAGGAACTTGCACTTGCAAGGGAGGTGGCAGAACCACTGAGCTAAATCCCTGGCCCCCAACTTTAAATTTAAATACAATTTAATTTAATTGTATGCTTGAGATCTTTTTCATTTAATAATATATCTGAACTTCTTTCCTATGTCTTTAAAAAAATATTTACAAACATTATTTTAATTCCTTAATGGTATTTCACTTGGTACAAATCAGTTATATGTGAGCTGGGGATTTAGCTCAGTGGTTCCACCACCTGCCTTGTAAGCACAAGGTTCCAAGTTTGACCCCTGGAACTAAAAAAAAAAAAAAATTGTATGTGTATATATTTCTCTGTGCCCATTTAGGACATTTGACGTGTCTATTTAAGAACTCATTTTTCCTGTCTAGCTTTTGCTTGTTTTAATAATGCTGTGATGAACATCTTTTACATTTATCTTCATCTACAACTTGGATTGTTTCCTTAGAATGAATTATGATACACTGATTTAGTGGCTCCAGGATATTAAAAAGGTTGAAGTTTCTTGAACAATAAGCCACTCCTCAGAGCAGTTTATATCTCAGTAGCAGGGTTTTTTTTTTTTTTTTCTTGGTACCGGGGATCAAACTCGGGACCTTGCGTTTGTGGGGCAGGAGGCAGAACCACTGAGCTAAATCCCTTGCCCTAGTTGCAGGGCTTGAGAGTGACCATTTTGGGGCCCAGTTTTCAAGTCTGAGGATTATTTCATTTCCTCATTTGCCATTGGCTTTAAAGAGCAGATGATGAATGTAGAAAAATATAAATGTGGGAGATCAGTGAAACAATGTGTGTGCTCTGGATTGGAGAGCCCCAGACCTATACTTGGAACCACTGTGTGCCAAAGGGGAGGCTTCCTGCCCGGGCAGCTTCTGAGGTCCTACAGGATGATGGCCGAGGGCCAGGTCGGAGCTGAGCCACAGGAGGCTTCCAGCAAGAGGGTGACCTTTCAGAGGAGCCTGTACCTCCATCCCATGGTGTCAGATCCTGGAGACAGCAGACCAGAACAGCAGTGCAGTGCTCTGTGATGGACAGAGGCCATTCCTAGTACTCCTGAGAAGGAGCAGCTCCATCATCCTCACAGATAGGTAGTGGGAGTCAAGGATGGATAGATAGAAATTTAATCCAAGGAGTATTTATGGGGTGCTTGCTCTTTACCAGACAATGTTTGGAGAATCTGGGTGACCAAAAATGGTCATGCTCAGTCTGTATGCTAGCTAAGCTGTCATGATTAGGCCTTTCAGTTTGACTTGGTAAAAATCCAGACCCCCCCAAAAAAAATCCCTATTCTCATGGGGCTAATATTTTAGTTGGAGGAAAAGAACTAGGAAACTGGCTCTGTAGCCTGCTCAGGGTCTGACCCTTCCCATGGGCAGCAGGTATGATGTAGAGGAAAAGCCTGGGCCTGTGAGCCATAGTGTCTGCCTGAGACGTTTCTGAGTCATGGTTATAAACTTACCACAGAGGGCTGTGGTGACCATTAAGTGAGTGATATATGTAAAGCATGAGCACCTGGTGGTGGCACCTTTACTCTTACTGTTAGCATTGTTGTCATAATTTGTACTTGTTGTTACTGTTAACATTATTGCAACAGGCCATTCCCCTGTTCTGAAGCTTTGAGCAGTTTCTTTAGAGGGAGAGGAGTGAAACTGACCTGCAAACGGAACCATCTCTGAGAGTTCTTTAGTTCAGAAGCTAGGGAGCTGTAACCAGAGCAATGGCCCTGAAGGCAACTCAGAAAGATAGGCAGTGTGCGCCATCTGCTGGAGGTAGGGAGAATTGTCCCGCACCAAATTGTGGCTCCCATCTTGATTTTGCAAATGGGAAACCTGAGGCCCAGAAAGGGCCAGAGAATAGTCTATAAAGCACAGCCTGTGGTATGATATCCTGGTAATTTTTTTCCTTGCAGCGGCGATGGAACCCAGGGCCTTGTGGGTGCTAGGCAAGCACTCTACTACACAGCTATATCCCCAAACTGCCCAGTAATTCTTGAAGTATATGGCTCCTTTCTGTGTATGTAATTTTCTTCTATTCCCTCTCTAGGCTGTATTATCACTCACCAAAGCTGCTAACCATCACCTGGAAGTAATAGTTTCTAATATCATAACCTGTCTCTCCTGCACTCTGGCCTGTTTGGCCAATGTACCTCTTCTATTCCTCCCCCTTGGAGGGCTCACAAGCGCCTCAAAGCTAGTGTGGCAAACTAGAACTCCTAATTTCCACCTACCTTCTCTGATACTCTTCTGCTATTCCCTATTTCAGGGAGCCAGACTTCTATTTTCTTACTTATTTGTGTCAAAAACCCGAATTTGCCATCAGTCAAACACAGGCCTGTTGATCTCATCTCCGTATTATATGTATAAGGTGTCTCACCACCACTGTCTGTACCCAGACTCCACAGGAGCCTCCTGTCTTACTCCTTTCCAGGCCCGGCTCTACCCAGATACTCAGGCCAACTTTGAAAGTGCACAGCTGATCAATCGTGACCTGGCCCAACCTCCCTCAGGGTTCAGGAGTCAGATATGCTCTGGCCCTGCCCACCCTAGTGGTGTTCTTGGAGACCTGTGTTCTCCTGCATATTCTAGCCTGCCATGCTTTCCTTCCTCAGAGCATTCCACACTTGCTGTTCCTTTTTGGTTTTTTTTGAGACAGGGTCTCACTATGTAGTTCAGGTTGGCCTCAAACTTGTGGCAGTCCTCATGCCTCAGCCTCCCAAGGTCTGCAGGTGTGCACCACCATGCCTGGCTGTTCCCTCCTCTTGTAATTCTCTGCCTCTTACTCTTCATCTGCATCACGCCTGGTCACCCTCTGATGGCAGGTGAAACATCGCTTCCTGACCCCACGCTTGGTCAGATCTTGGCAGTCGCCCCACCCTGTATTCTCCCTGAGAGCCATGGTACTAGGTACTAAGTACTTAGGTACTTGGTAGTTTGATGCAGCCTCCATCCTGGAAGTTCTTTTGCCAGATGAGAGGGCACCTGGGGAGGGAGAGAGTGTTGCAGCTGGGGGTGGGGGCAGGGTAGGAGCCAAGGAGGCGTGTTCTGGATTGTAAGCCCTGCAGGTAGGGACCAAGGCTGACCCGTGGCTACATCCACTGCACCTATCCAGTGCCGCATGTGATGTTGATACACGACTTGTGCTTGTCTGTAATCCTAGAAAAAAGACTCAGTGTATGTACTTGAAGATGATGGTGGTTTTTCTGGGTATAGAATTATGAATGACTTAGTTTATTTTTTGTCCTTTTTTATGCTTTCTGCTTTGTCGTCAGTGAAAAAGGGAGTAACTGTCATTTTGTCAGAAGACATCCATGCCTCACCTCTGCCCTCCTGTGCCCGCAGGCCTGAGAGCGATGCGACAGGCATGATGGAGGTCGAGTCCTCCTACTCGGACTTCATCTCCTGTGACCGGACAGGCCGTCGGAACGCAGTCCCTGACATCCAGGGCGACTCAGAGGCAGTGAGCGTGCGGAAGCTGGCTGGAGACATGAGTGAGCTGGCCCTCGAGGGGGCAGGTGAGAGCCACGTGTTTCAGCATCCCAACGTGCCAGAAGCCCTCTGCCAGCTCTGGCTGGTCTCCGAGTCCTAGATTGCCCACACTTCCTCAGAGAAGCAGCTGCATGCAAATGGGGTCTGGGCAGAGTCCAGCCAAGCATCCCAGCACTGTCACTCTGGCTGGGCGTCCAGGGCCTGTCCCTGCCCCCACCCTCTAGTCTGCCCATCAGTCCCACCAGCTCTCTTCCAAGATGCAGCCCAGCTCCACCTGTTCCTTTCAACCCCTACCTGGCCAGCCACTCCTACCCTTCCCCTGCTCTGTATAACAGCCCTCTTATCCTGTCCTCCAATGGCATCCTACCAGAACAAAGCCAGGCTCTGCAGTGCCCACGGCAGCCATGCTACTTGGATCCCACCCAATACCACGCTGCACCCCGCCATGCGACCGTTGGTGTGTTTCTCAGCCAAGGTTCAGGTCTTCCCTGTCAGAACCTTGCCTTGCTTTTTTCTGTGCCTAGAATGCCCTGTTTCCAGTGCTGGGGCTATAGTCCCCTCACTCTCAGGCCCGAACTCAGCTAGCAGGTACCCTGGTGGATCCCCCAGTCAGCTCAGCATCCTTCCCAGGAAGGTGACTTCCAGATATGGTCGTGTTCCCTTGGCTGAGCTCCAGGAGAGCAGGACCTTGTATTCCACCTGCATGTAGCATGGACTTGGTAATCACAGGCTGGAAGACTGTCCAAAGGACTGGAGGACATTCCTGTCCCTTCCACTTCTTCCTCCATCTTCTCAGAGGGTCCTGCCCAGCTCAGACCCACTGGTCAGCCCTGACCCTTCTTCTGGGAAGTCTTTTCTGACCCTGCCTGGCTTCCCACAGCACTGTGGAGGCTGTGTCTGTCACATTACTTCCCATAGTACATAACAGCTTCAGGCTCTGTTCTGGGGCATCTTTGGAGAGCCACAGCCTTGTCTTTCGCTGTAGCCCCAGTCTGGAGCTCTTGTACCTTGCTGTACAGAAGTGACTTGTGATGGGAGGATGGAGTGGACTTTTGGGAGGGGCAGGGACCTAATCCTTTTGTGTTAAGAGATGGGTAGGCTGAAGCCCAGATAAGCTGGTTTGCTCAGGACCACCCAGGAAATGGCCATGGTTAGCATGGCCATTTTTATTCTGAGAGAATTTGTTGTCATTCTCAGAACCCCACCCAGGCCTTCCTGTTTAAAAGTCTGTCAGCTTTCCCTTGCAGAATGGCCCAAATTTCTTGTCCAGGTATGGATGCCTCCTTGAGTCATACCCTGGACTCCTCTCTAACCTCAACGCTGACTTCCTCCCCAGGTGCCCTTTTATCTAGGCAAAGTAAAGTATTGTTGGTTCTCAGGATCCTTTGATTGGGGGGAAAAAAAGATCTTTTGGCTATTCTGCACCCTCTGGCTGGTTCTTCCTTCCTGCAGTGCTTAGCTGGCTGCTTCTCACTGTTGCAGACACCTGCTCTGCTGGAGCCCCCTGACCGCACCCTGCACAGCAGAAGGAGGCTCCTCTTCTCCCAGCTACCTCTACAGTCCTCTTATCAGAGGGCCCTTGTATCCCAAGCACTCTAGCACAGCCTCTGCCTTGTGCCCTCAGTGCCTGGCAGCAGGTGGCACATGGCAGGGCTGCCTCTTCTGTAGCTGTTTACTGCCTGACTCTCTGAGCAGGGTGCCCAGCTGTTCTACCAGGCAGGCTGCCAGGGGCTCTCAAGGCTTCTGTGTCCTTTTCAGCTCTGGTAAACTTTCTGTCCTCCTCTACCAAAGCTATTGTAGCTGCTGTTCCCAGGCCTTTCTCTACTGTTTGTTCCCTCTGACTCAGAATCCTTGAAGAGTCCAGGTCCTCCAGGTGAGTGACATTTCAGGGGACTGGAGGACAGAGCAGTGTCCTCTAAAGAGACATGAAACACTTGTGGTGGAGAGTGGTCCAGGGGCCTTCTGGGCCTCACAGTGAGCAGAGTCTGGGCAGAGTTTCTGGCCCAGGGCAGCCTCTCTGCTTCCAGCTTCTGGGAGACTGATAGGCAGCAGGGCAGGAAGGGGAGCCACAGTCCTTGCCTGCTGGGGAGCCTGGCTGCCTGGCCTCCCCACCTCTGTGGCCTGCTATGTTTGTCATTCCTTCCCAGCACCCTCTGCACATAGAGAGGTGTGAGTGCTTGTCCAACCGGGAGGAACATTTTCTAATGCTGCTCTGCAGCTGGACCCAAGGGAGTCCCACGGTGCTGGTGGACCAGGAAATGCCTGAAAACCTTCCCTCACCAAGGGAGAGCTGGGGCTGGCACGGAGAAAGCACTACATTGGCTGAACATTCCCACATAACTACATCAGGGCCCTGTGCCCCCACGGTCCGTGCAGACACCACCCGCTGTGTGGGTCAGGAAGCAGAGCTCAGATTAAATGACTTGCCAGAGGTCTCATAGCAAGAAAGCAGCAGAGCAGAGATTACTGGGGAATTTAGGGAGAGTATTTCTGCTGGTCAGGGCAGGAGGATTGGGACCAAATAAGCCATCACAGATGGAAATTTTGCCCAAAGTATGGTCTGCCTAGGCTTCATAGGCTCACATTTGAGAGTCTGACATGCAAGTTCCTCCTACACCACTCTCACGGCACTGGGACGTAATGCTGACGCTGTCCTTTACTAGCACTAGACCAGTGGTGGCGAACCTATGGCACACACCGCAGCAGGTTGTTTGTAACATTGAAAGCTCTAAAACATTCGCCATTACTGCACTAGACAATGCTGCTCACTGGAAGAAGGTAAATCTAGTGGAAGGGGAACTGGCTTTGGCACCGAGCAGGTTGTCTCCACCTTTTGATCTCAGCCAGATGAGCGTCGTTTCCCTAATTGCACCTCCAGGTTCCTGTGTGAATTATATAGAAAATGTCCTCAGTCCACAGACCTAGAAGCTCCACACAGGGTGGTGCTTACCATAGTCAGAAGGGCTTAGCCTAAACGAGCTAAAAATGGAGGCCAGATAGGGCCGTGTGGTCCGGCAGGGGCTGAAATTGCATGCAGGCCCTGAATAAGCTTAAAGGGTACCTGGTGACACCACATGTCACTGGAGCTTAAGAGTGGTTATCATTATGAGCACAAAAAAAACTCTGGCAAGCTGGCAAGGGTGTGGGGGAAAGGAATCCTTCTACATTGTTGAAGGGAATGTAAACTACGTGGTACAACCCCTGTGGAAATCAGTATAGTAGTTCCTTTTGACCCATCTATTGCCCCTTTTAGCTACATTTCCAAAAGGGTAAGAGACATCACATTACAGGGATGCATGCATACTCATGTTTAGAGCAGCACAATTCATAATAGTTAAATCTTGTTAGAAATTTTTTTTGGTACCAGGAATCAAACTCAGGACCTTGTGCTTATGAGGCAGGCGTGGTGCCACTGAGCTAAATCCCAGACTAATAATTAAATCTTGGAAGCAACCTGTATGTCCATCAACAGATGAATGGATAAAGAAAATGTAGTATTATACACTGAAGTACTGCTCAGCTGTAAAGCATAAATTTGAGTCATTTGTAGGAAAATGAATGGCTCTTGAGACCATAGTGCTAAGTGAAATCAGACACAGAAGCTTAAATGTTGCATAGTTTCTCTTACATGAGAAACCCAACATGTAAGTAAAGAGCAAAACATAGACGATAGGAGACAGGGAGGTGGACTTGGTGGAGATGGGAAGGAGACCTTGAGGGGGAGAAGCAGGAGGGCAGTAAAAACTATTAAGATGCACTGTGTGTGGCTGGGGATTCAGCTCAGTGGAACCACACCTGCCACACAAGAGCAAGATCCTGAGTTCAGTGCCCGGTTTAAAAAAAAACAACAACAAAAAAAAGATGTAATATATGTATGTAGCAGTTCCCCAAGATGAATGTAATTATTATGTATTGCAAACATATGCAAAAAAAAAAAACCCCAAAAACAAAAACCACCACTGATGGCGCTTTGCCCACAAGCCCAGCCTCGTGGACACAACATGGAAGATGCCTGATAACCAGGCAGCTCGGTAAGGAGCACACTGAGACTGGAGGGGCTGAGCACAAGCTGTGCCCTGCCCAGCTGCACTGCCAGCCGAGTGGGTGATGGCGGGGCCTGCCCATCCCCGCTTCCACAGTGGGACTCTTCCCCAGCCCTGCCCAGCTCTCCCGCAGGATGAGGTCAGGAGGGGTGGAGATTGCAGTGGTATACTGGGGTGGGCTGTCTGTGCACACCATGTGCCCTTGGCACACACATGCCCACAGGTTCAGGTCCCGCCTGGCACTCCTAAGCTGTCGGGGTCCAGTTCCTTTTTCTAAGAACAACTACCATTCATTTGAGTATCTGCTTTGTGCTGGGAACTTAGCATTTCCCCTCCCCTCTCGCTCTAAGAAACTTGCATAGTCATTTTCATTACCCTCCATCTCTTGCTTTTAGCACCCATCCACAATCCTTTTAGTTGACTTTTAATTATACCAGCAACATTGCATTCATTCCTCTAGTAAAAAGTGACTTGTGATAGACCAAGCTAAAGTTCCCTTTGGCTATACCACCACTATTCCAGTTCCTGTTCTGTTCCTCAGCACCTAGCCACTGTTACAGTTTGGCTGGGCCCTTCCAGACCTGCTTCTCTGCTCTACATTAGTGTGCAAGTACTAAATATGTGTGTGGGGGGAATCATAGTCCTAGGTGGGCATGGCAGTAACACCTATAATCCCAGCACTTGGGAGGCTGAGGCAAGAAGATCATGAGTTCAAGTTCAGCCTGGGCTACACAGGATGAGACTTAACCCAAACAACCAACCATTCCTCTTTCTTTCCTCTCTAGAAGGACAGGCAGAGGCAAGCACCACGGACAAGGAAGCCAGCAACCAGCCTGAGAACAGCAGTGGGACCACCTCATCTTGAGTCTGACCTTGTTCTGGAGGCTGGAAGTGCCCCATCCCAGAATGGGAGCCCAGGCACGGGCCCAGCAGTCTCTTCTCTGAGCCCATGTTTCAGGCCAGACTGAGGCCTCTGTGGTCCCGAATCTGGGAAGTCCTCTGCCCACACCCACAGGCTCCACGTTCCCACTACCTTCTGTTCACACCCAGGTACACTTTCAAGACGCTGTAACCACGGGATGTTATTTATTCAGCTGGTGCAGGGCTCAGAGTGGGCCCTGCTGACCAGGTGAGCAGCCCACAGGGGACCCTCCTCTTGTGGGCCACCTGGACAGGGACTGTGTCCCAGCGCTCTCCCTCCTTTCCACCCCAGCCTTCCAGGTCAAGACCTTCTTTCCCTTTTTTAGAAAAACACAAACAAAAACACTTTTAAACTTTTTAAAAACTTTAAACCTTTTTTCAGCAGAGAGGGAGGGAGCTGATAATTCACTTTTATTTTGGAAAGCCATTTTAAGCTCAATTCTGACCATCTATGCAGCTCTGAGGTTCCCTCATGGAGCTTCACAGACCCATTTATAGGGAAGGAATTTGGGCTCAAAACTTAACAGAGCGATTCTTTGCCCTTTTTACCAAGATAAGTGACTTAGGCCCCAGGAAATAAATGCTGATGATTTGTGTGACTGGTTTAAGATTATTTCTCCTTTAGTGAAATCAGAGGCTGAGCATTGTTTCCCTAAGTCCATAGTCCACTGGGCTTCATCGCTAACTTGGACCTTCATGAGCTGCTGAGAAGAGCCGGGGGTCCTGAGAGCTGCCACTCCTAGCCCGGCATCTGATGAGCCCCCTTCCCATCTCACTCTCTCACCCAGCCAGCTGTTTGGAGGACCTGAGAGGAAAGTTTTTGCCTTAAGACCCAGAGTGGAGGAGCCAAGAGTGCAGGGGGCATCTTAGGGGACAGCCCCTTCAGAGAAACATCTTTCCTGGAGGAAGAGGCCCTACTTTCTCATCCCCAACTAGGAAGTTCCAGCTCTCCGTTCCCAGCCTGCACTGGGCTCTTGGACTCTGCTGCTTGAATAGGCTGCTGAGTGTGGGGGCCCTAGGGTTTCCTTCCATTCCCACCTCACTCAGGTCAACCAGCCAAGACCAAAGTACCACACACCACAGGCTATACAATGCCAGCTGCTGGCGGCTTTATTGAGCACCAGATTTTCAGCAAAAGTCACCTGAGGAGGAGGGTTTCAGATTCATGGTCACCTTTGGCAAGGGCCTTGGTCCCTCGGCAGGGCACACAGTCAGAGGCAAGATGTGGTCATTCCCAGGTTTATGCATATGATACACATCAGGAGCTCCTGAAATCCTGGTCTTGAGGAAGGAATGTAGGTAAAGTGTCACTTGATCCCACAGAGTTGTGCGGGCTGCATCCGTGGGCTGAGGGCCTCAGGGGTGGCTATGCCATCTTCAAGGGTCCTGCCCTGCTGGTCAGGTCAGAGAAGCAGAAAGATGAGGCCACTCACAATACCCCCCAGGACACTAAAAATCACAGCTCCAACACCAGAGAGGAACTCATACACACAGTGATCCTGAAGATTAGAGCAAGGTAATGTCTTGCCAAGGCCACACAGGAAAGAAGAAGCAGAAAAGGCCAGGACCCGGTCCAACTCCCTGCCCTTGGCTTTGGGAAGCCACAGGGGTGCCGAGATGGCTGGGCCTGGCCTACGGAAAGTCTTGCCTTTGGCCAGGCTCTCCAGAAAGCAACTACACAGAAAATAAGCCAATCGGATGAGGGGCTGCCACAGCCAGGCCCAGGAGCCAGGCAGTCATCTCACGTCCTTGGTGTGGTCCAGGAGGAAGGGCTCTTGCTAGAAGTCACATAGGAAGCTGGCAGGAGACGGGGCAGGGTGACCACTGGAGCCCAGAAAGAAACATACCGGCAGTGGCTGGCGGAGGTGGCATCCTGTAGGCTCTGTAGAGCTGGTTGAGGAGATCTTCCTTCTCGTTTTCTGGGAGGAAGCAGGACCTTGCAGCATTGATGTTCTAGAAGGGCCAGTGTAGCAGACAACATGGAACCAGACAACGAGGACGGGAGCCTTTGGCATCTAATAATAGTTCATCCTCTTCATGGAACATGAACAGTAAAGCTCAGGGAGGGTTTGTCCCAGGTCACCAGGCAGCAAGTGCTGGTGCAGAGACACAAGGCTGTGTGATGCAGGGGTATGAGGAGACCCCTTTGTGAGAGGGGATGTGGTGGGCAGAGACCCCTGCAGGAGCTGACTCGGCATTATAACCCAAGATCAAGTGCTCAGCCTGGGATCTAGGCGCGGCCTGAAGGGTGCAGATTTTCACAGTGAGGCACATCTTTTTGGGGAGAGGAATCCTTCAGTGCACTCGATCCAAGCAAAGGCTAAATCACCCGGCCCTCAGTCAGGACATCAGCACCAAGGTGTCTTCTGTGGAAGGCATCTGACTCTATGCTTGGCTAGGCTTGACTGCCAGGCTCACTCCAGGTCTCCTGGGGCTCCAGGGCCTAGACATGACCTGCAAGCCTCAAAGCCCCGTGGCCGGTAGTTAGGGCAACAGCTTGCACCACTCACCAGTCGCTTAAACTCCTCCTCGGTGAAGCCCATGTCCTCTTTGGTCATCCGGTAGTCAGTGTCCAGGGTAGACTTGAAGATGAGCGGGTCATCTGAGTTGAGTGAATAGTTAACTTTGTCGTTCTTGAACCTGGTGGGTGCATGGGGAGAGAAGAGCCTCCTTTACCCTTCCATGGCCATCACTGCCCTCTGACTCCTGCCCTCTTTGATCCTCACAAACCCACTAGGCTTTGTCCAAAATCACCTAATCAGCAACACAAGACTCACACCTATCCTGCCAGGCCAGGGCCAGGCAAAGGCAGTGGAGGAGCTTGATGTGACAGCCAGGGAGAACAAGGGCTCTGGGAGGCTGGGAAAGCGACATCCCCTCCAGCCACCATTCTCTCTAGCCTTCCTCTTCACAGTACCACTCCAGAGAGTTGTTGGCACCTAACCCTGTCATTCCTCAATGCCGCTCCATCAGTCTTTTCCAACACACCATGGAAGCCATTCTTGGCATGGACCCCGTCAACCATCCTGTTTGTGTAGAATCAACACTGTTAACTGTTCTTGAAGCATCTTCCCTAGGTTTTTCTGACACCACACTTTTGGCTTTCCTTTTACATGTCTCTTCTTCCTGGCCCTTAAATGCCACTGTCATTTTGGGTTCTATCTTAGGCCCTCATGCTCCATCTTCTGGGGCCTTCCCTTCTTCAACCATCGTATCTGTGCAGATGACTTAAAACTTTCTCTAGGCCATGGGCTTTGCACCCACAGCCCACCTAGAACCTGCACTTGGATCGCCACCAGCACCACACATTCCGCATTTCTGAGGTCAGCCTGAGGACCCTGTCAGAATGCCAGAGCACAAGCTCCCTCCCTTTACATAAGCTTGCCAGGGGGCCCCATGCCAACTTGACTGTGGTCACCTCAAGTCCTTGCTGTCCTTCTGCTTCTGGGGAATACACCTTTGCCCTCTCAAACCCTGAAACCTTGTCCCAGGGCTCTATCAGAGGACAGAGAAGGGTCTTGCCCCTGGTTAGGCTGCAAGATGGGAGTAGGTATGGGAGAGGCCCTCCAGGGGAAAGTTTAAAATGGTACGTGGAGCAGAGAACACACAGGCAAAACAGACTCATCTTCCCGAGGCCTAGGAGGCAGAGCTGGGAAAATCAGGAGTGTGGGCATTTCCCTCAGGACAGTGGGACATTCTGCTGTGGCTGAATGAGCTATAGGGTCCCCAGATCTGCTGGTTAGTAGGTGGGGCCTGTTGGTCAGGTTACAGCACATCTGAGCTTCTGTCTCATTTGTGGGATGAGACAGCAGTAGAGTCCCCAGGTAGAGTTCATAACTAACAGACACAGCCTGGGCCAGTGCCTCATCCCTTCACTCCCTCCCCATGCTGGGCTTCCCAGGAACAGAACTGATCAAGTCCCAGGGGCCAGAACTCACCGGATGGCTGGGTGCTCCGTTTCTGGCTTCCACGCACCCGTGAGATAGCTGGACCAGGGACAGACCTGCAAAGAGCAGGTGTGTGGCAGGCCAGGCCTCCTCTCTTCACACCTAGCACTTGAGCAGCCACTGGCCGCTCCCTCGGGGCTTGCCTGCTTCTCTCTGGAGACCTGCCTGACCAGGAGTGGGTGGGACATCCAGGCACGGTTTCCTCAGGCCCCTGGCCCTCACCTCAAAGTGCATGTTTTCCTTCTGCAGCCTGTCGTAAAGGGTCTTGTCCTCCAGGGTGTGGTAGCCATGTCCCACCCTCTCCGTCTTGAGTACATCCACAGCCTGTGGAGAAGCAGAGGGGCAGCAAGTGCGTGGAGCGGTCCAAAGAAGCAGGGTACGGAGGCTGTTGGTCAGTACCCCCTCACCTCTCGCACGATCTCTGCAGAGCCCACCTCCCCGGCGTGGACGGTGCGGTGAATGCCACTCTTCACAGCCTCCTAGAAAGGGAAGAGCCAGGTCAAGGGAGCCCAGGGGAGAGCCCTGCCAGGCCCTACCTTTACCAACTGCGGTCTGAGTTTTGGCAGGCTTGGGCTCTCCCTGGGTCAGGCCAGGCTGCTTCAACAGCCCGGGGCAGCATGGCCTTGCTTGGCCCCAGTCAGGACCTAAGTGGTAGCTGTCCCTTACTACATAGTTCTTATGTGTCGGGCTCTGAGATGGCTCACGTTATCCAACAGTCATGAGTATTACCACATTTTATGGCTCAGGAAGCCGAAGCTCCTATTAAGTAATAGGACAGATACCAAACAAGAAGTGTGGAATCTTGGAAATAAACCCAGAGAAGACAGTCTTGTCCACAGCCACACAGCAAATCAAGCAGATCCAGCCTCAAACACAAGAGCCCCAACACCACACACCGCATCATATGGGGTTTGGTCAGTCTCTCTCTCTTTTGAGACAGGCTGGGTTTGAACTCATCGTCCTCCTGCTTCAGCCTCCCAAGTATTGGGATTATGGGTTTGCCATCACTGTACCCCAAATTCAGGGGCTTTTATTTTTTGTACCAGGGATCAAGCTCAGGACCTTGTCCTTGCCAGGCAGGTGCTATGCCATGCCACTGAGCTAAATCTCCAGCCTGAGGGGCTTTCTGCACCCAATTCTGAGCCCCCAGATCTAACCAGACATACTTGGGGACTCAGGTGGCCCTGTGCTCCACGTCTGGGGTAATTCCCCCCACAGGCTCACCGTGTGCCAGTCTCCCCTCTCCCACAGGCCCACCTTGTAGGCCTCCAGGTGCCCCGGGAAGCTGCTGCTTCCTTCGATGGTCTCGTCACCAGCCAGGTCGATGCCCACCACAGTCTGCTGCCAGTACTTCTTACACAGCTCCACGACCTCAGGGGACCAGTCTGTGGCAAGATCCCCACCAAGGCTCTATCAGCAGCACAGCGGAGCAGGGCCTCTCAGTCCCCCTACTATCACATGTCCCCCAGTGCAAGACAGCTCAGTGTCTAGTGTTCAAAACCTGACTGCCATGTCCTAGCCATGTGGCCTTTGGCCACTTACTCTGGACACAGCCTCAGACCGCTCCCTCACCAGCGGGGATGCCACCACTACTGTAGCACAGGGTCAAGCCAAGGCCATGCCAAGGTCAAGAGTGAGGCACAAAGGGCAGAACCCGGCACAGTTAGGGACGCATGGGTTGTTTCCTCACTTGATGCCTACAGCGGCTCCCAAGATGGCTTCCCCTACCTAGATGATAAGGAAATGGAGTTTAAAACTCAGGCTGGGATTGCTAAGGGTATTACTCATGTATTATATACCCTGAAGCCATAAAGTTATTATGATTTATTTACATAGGATGGATGAACAGAGGGTTTAGGACCATTCAAACCACAACTTTGTGTTTCCCTGACAGAGGGGTAAGAGGCTTCTCCTTTTTCTGACTCAGTTTCCCCATCTGTGTGATTAAACAATGGTAGTCCCACCTCATAGGCTACAACAAGGATTACAGAAAATACGCACAAGTTGCTGCCCCAAACGGGCATGTAGATTGGCAGCAGCCTCTGGCTTTGGTTCCCCCGATCCTTAGAGGAAATGATTCTCCTGTGCCATTCTCAGAGAGGTGGCATGACTTGCCCAGTGTCACACAGTGGGGTCTGACACAAGAAACTCAAGCCCTCGGAATGTGATGAGTGTCAGTGCCCTCAGCAACCCCAGAATTCAGACCTATGTAGGGGCTCTGTGGGCCAACTGGGAAACTGGATAGTTTGGATAGTTTTCGACTGCTGAGGCTCCTTTGGTTTTATACTTTCTATAGGCCATGTGGCTGTTGAGAGTGTCACCAGAGAGGTCAGAGCCTTTCCAAGAGGCCTCCCGTGTCTCCAGGAAGCCCCAGGAGCAGGCTGAAGTGCTCAGGGGACACCATGGGCAGGTCAGGCACAGCCTCACAGCCAGGCCAGCAGGTCGGGGCCAGAGGCAGCTGGGCAGCTGGTGATCATACTCACTGGGCTGGTGGCGCATGCAGCACAGGATGGACCGGGCCTTGGTCCTGAAGGCTTTCTCCCCCTGCTGCAGGCCCTGGTTCACTAGGTTCACCACCTCGTCGGGGGTGACGTCTCCTCTGTGTAGGGACAGGAAATGGTACTGAGCAAAGGGAGAAGAGCTGCCCCCACTGACCCAGTTCTTCTGGGGGGACAGATGACCCAAGCCTTGGCACATCCCTCAAGCCTGGGCACTTCTACATGGCAGCATGTGGTGGTGTCAGATCCATTCTCAGGAGCTCGGGTCCTGTATGGTTCCCACTCCCAGGTGGGTCAGAATCTGGCTCTGAAGGTGAGGCCAGGGTTTTGGTGCTATTACTTCCGGATCTGTGGGTGTCCAGGCAGGGGAGCAGGAATTGGCTAGACTCACTCCAGCTGCGAGGTTCAGAGGACCTTTAGAAATCACTGGTTAAGTGCTAACATTCCCAGGCAACAGGCCTGTGTCCAGAACTCAGGGCTCCAAAGCACAGCCAAGTACGCTTGCCCAGGGTGAAAATAATCCCAAGAAGGGCCGGGGATTTAGCTCAGTGGTGCCGCCACCTGCCTTGCTAGTGCAAGGTCCTGAGTTCGATCCCAGTACCAGGAAAAAAAAAAAAAACAACAACAACCTGAAACAACTCCAAGGTAAGGAGGGACGGGAGCCACACTCTTATGGCTGAGTTAACCCATCTTTCTGAGGCCGTGGACCAGATGTGGCCATGGACCAGCATCTCTGGTCTCAGGGTTGGGCTACCCAGCCATACCCTCAGCGCAGCCCGCACCAGGGCTGTCACTCACTCAGCCTGCTTCCAGGGGATCGGCTCGACTTCGGCGTTGGCCAGCAGGTGTGGACTGTAGCGCACCTCCACATATACCACGCCCTCCTTGGCCTTCATCTCCACAAACTCATAAGCAATCCTTTTGATGGCCTCCCTGCTGCCCCTGGGGAGAGAAGAAAGGGGTTGGAGACTTCTTTCTCTATCCAAGGCCCTTGGGGAGCTCTGGGAGCAAATGAGGCTGCCCCCAATCCTTCGCGTATGAAACCCACCTCTGACTGGCAGGGAAAGAAATAATAAATGGACACAGCTAAATCCAATGGTACTGGGCTAAAGGAACCTAGGATTCACTCATTGACTTATCTGCTGTGTGACCTTGGATTAGTCAGTCACCCTCTCTGACACCCACCTCAAAGGGTCATCACAAGGACAAAGGAGCTAGATAAATGTCATAAACCTCACCTAGGCCAGTGTTTAAGAACACAGCAGACAAAGGCTAAAAGTATTTTCACTGTTTCTACTGAGCATTCGCCCCAGAAGCAAGGCACAAATTGATCTGCCAGTTGCTAGTGGACTCTGACTCTGCCTGGCCGGAAGGTTCCACCACAAAGGGCCGAAACGAAATGTTGAGCAGAACGTGAAGGAAGGCAGGCAAGTGTTCCAAGAGCCCTGGGTACAAGGACCTGCTGCCCTTTCCATTCCCCACCCAAGAATTCAGCCTCCCCTCCCCTCACAATATGAATCCCCGAACTGGGGAGACAGGAGACTCAGGTCCATGCCCTGCTCTGCCTTGGGCTCTTCTCTGGACCTCAGTTTACTCAGGCCAAAGGGCTCTTTAGCTAACGTCTGTAATGGTGGCCTGAGGCTGGGGAGGTCAGAATCTCAGACTCCCAAAGAGCCATGCAGCTTCTCCAGTGCCCTCTGAAAACCCTGGGCCAGGCCCATGCCTAGTCCTGGTCACAGGAATCGCTGCTGTCCCAGGAGCTGAGGGCTGGGGATCACTCACGCGATAACAGGCATGTAGTATTCAAACTTGGTCAGGAACTCAGGGAGGGACTGTGGCTCATCCATGCCGATGATCTGCTGCAGCTCTATCGCTGTGTCAGCTGGAAGGGTGATTCCTCTCTTCCTGGAACAGAACCATGAGGGGAAAGGAACAGTTCAGGGAGGATCCCGACGGCCTAACAGGGAAGGATGGACAGACCAAAGCCCCAGCAGGAAATGTGGGATCTCTCTAGCCAGTTCTTCCCCTTGGACAGATGAGAACACTGAGGTCCAGGGCCTGTGTAGCCAGGATGTGGTCCTTCTGAGACCTGCTGGGCCTAAGTCATGACAAGTCAGCAGACTTCAAGGGCGGCAAAGGGGACAAGCAGGGGTCCCTTTGTGTGAATGTGTGCACGTGTTGCTGATGCCTACAGACAGGACAAGTGTCAGGCAACTGTCAGGGCAGGTCCAAAGCTTCCTCCTCAGCCCTGGGAGTATGCAGAGCCAGCTGGTCTGGTGCCCAGTCAGCGGAGATCCGGGCGTTAACCGCAGCATAACAATTCCTGAGCCTCGGGCTGGCGCCAGGACATCCCCTCCACCCTCTTTCTCGGTCTCACCGAAGCAGCCCCCCAGCCCAGCGTGCTGTGAGAGGGCTGGCAGCCAGCTCTGGAGCAGGCCTGGTAAGCCAGCCCCCCAGCTCAGAGCTCTGTCCCTTCCCTCCCCAACCCCTTGACACAGGCTGGACCAGGGTGACACTCAGCAAGTCCTGCTTCTGACAGACACCCTCTGGCCTGAAGCCTTCCTCTCCTCAATAGCAGCCCTGGGCTGCAGGAAGCAGGGTGCAGCTCCGTGGCTTCCTCCTCTGCACACGGCCCTGCCTCCTCCTCCCATCCTGGCCAGGCTCTGGTTCATGGAGGCAGGGAGGGATGTCCTCCCTGGGCCTCAGTTTCTCCATTTTTAAGATAAAAGGGACAGGCAAAGAAACACTTCCTTATATGGGGCACAAAATTGCACAAAAGGCACCTTGAAGAAACAAAGCAGAGAAGAGAATTTGAAACTCAAGGAGATGGGAAGATACTGCGTCCTTGCAATATTAAAAAGGGAATGTTCCTGCGTTGGGTGGGAGGGATGTGGCTCAGTAGCAGAGCACTTGGCCAGCATGTGCCGGGAAAGGTTTCCTACATAAATGCCTGTTCCTAACCCTACATACGCCCCTTCCTTATCTGGCAGCCTGGACCTCATGAGGTCACCCTGGCACACATCAGTCTGCCAGTCAGCCAGCTGTGGCGCCTTGTCAGGCCTGGATCCCTGTGAGACCCCATGGTCAAGATGGAGCTTCTGCTGCATCTTAGGACACAAAGGATAGAAAGCCCCTCAGTGCTCGCCCACTGAGCCTCCAGCCTTAGCTCCGAAGGAGAATGAGAGGTCTGCTACGCCCACAGACAATGGCTCCGACTCCTGCCCAGTAGTCAGAAGAGGAGGAGGTCTGAGAGGGACGTGGTGTGCGGACAGACAGGAGGCTACTACAGTTTCAGAGCAGGGCAGTGACCCGAGAAGGCGGCCAGAGGAGCGGATCGTGAAGGAGACCGAGAAAGAGGTGAAGGAGGAGGAGCTTGGAAAGGGCAGACTCTCCGAGAGGAAGGAACAAGACATGGCGAGAACAGTCACCGAGACAGAAAAAAGGTCCCTGGGTGCCACAGGCCAGGGACTCCTCTCCTCTCTTCCCCTGCCCGCTGCTGACCTGGCCCTCCAGCATCTTTGTGGGTGCCGATATACCGAGCTGGCTGCCCAAGGACTCCAGGGCAAACTCCAGGGGGCACCTGCCACACCCCCTGTCCAGGCCCACTGAGGTGGCCCGTGCTGGCAGCTCCCTCCCCTGTCCTCCAACCCGCCCTGGACATTGTCACCTCCTTATTCCCACTAATGAGTGAGTGCTCCATGACCCATCAACACCCCAAGATTAGATACCATCTAATGGTCCTACCCTAGTGACCTCGAGGGGCCCTGTGGCAGCAGCTGCTGGCTCCCATTGGGCAAAGGACAGGCAGAGATAAGGCCCAAGGCTTCAGCTCCTCACCTGAGCCAGGAGGTGCTGCTCAATAACGCTACCATCAGGTGACGTTTACAGTGCACGCCTCAGCTGAGCACTACTTCATGAAACCTCTGGCTGCAGGGCAACGGTTGGGGGCACAGACTCAGGCCACACCTCCTGGGCTCAAACCTCTGCCCTGTGCTCCCTGGGCGAGTGAAATGACCCCACCGTCACGGCTCTGTCAAGCAGGTGGGGCAAGCGGCCTGGCCCCAAAAGCTGGCATGAGGAGTCACTAAGTTAACCCAGGTGAAGCCCAGAAAGTGGTGTGACCACGGTCAGTGACAATGAGCTCACGCTGCACAACTCCACTAGTGCAACAGTAGCTGCTGAGGGCAGGAAAAGGTTGCCGGAAGTGCAGGGAGAAGGAGAAACGTGTACTTTCCAGAACTCTCTCAGGGAGCTGGGGAGGGATGCTTCTGAGCTAAGGACAAACATCCCAGGATCACCAATTCCCCCCGAAGGGCAGGTGTCAGGACCCCCAGAGGGATCCTGGCTCCCAGAAAAGAATGTTTCAGCTGGGGTCAGAGCTGACCTTCTGAAGACGATGGGGGAGAGCCGAGTCCTTCCAGCTCCAGATGAGGTAGAGTTGAATGCGGGACACTAACCCCTGGCAGGGAGGGAGGGACAGCCCATCTCCCGGATAGGCAGGCCCCATGCTTACCCTCCCGCCCAAAGAGGCTGGGGCCCTTCAAGCAAGGGACCCCGGGGTTCTGAGGAGCTGCTCACTCCACCCAGCCCTGGGCAGGCAGCTGGACTTACTTGGCAAAGTACAAGATGGTTTCAGGCTTGATGGCTCCATCCAGGTGGACGTGCAGCTCCACCTACAGGGGCCAGAGAGGAGAAAGAGATGCCCACGGGTGTCTGAGGGGTCTTGGGGGTCAACGTTAACATTTGCTGTGAGGACCACTAGCTGCCATTTCCTGGGACACTCACCATGGGAACTTCACTAAGTTCCACACAGGGTCTTCCTTGCTCCTCACCCATGGGACAGGTCCAACTGTTACCTCCACAGCTGAAGACGTGGAAGTTCAGTGTGGTTAAGCATCTTGTCTAAAGCCACATGGTTGCCAAATAAGGGAAGCAAGGAACCAACTCCCTACCTTTGCTCTCAGCCACAACTGAGGAGTGGCTTGAGCCCCAGAGCTGGCCGTGTGATCTCAGAACAAATGCTTGACCTCTTTGAGCCTCAGTTTCCACAACAATAGGAGAGCACCTCTCCTTACCCAAGACCTACTACAGCCCTTACTAAAGGACGTGGTGTGCAGACAGACAGGGAGGCTACTATCAGGTTCAGAGCAGGGCAGTGGCCCAAGGAGAAGGTGGCCAGAGGAGCGGATCATGAAGGAGACTGAGAAAGAGGTGAAGGAGGAGGAGCTTGGAAAGGGCAGACTCTCCGAGAGGAAGGAACAAGACATGTTAAGGATTTTAAAAGATGGGGAGGTGGACAGATGTGGCCCAAGGGAAACTGACCCTGCCTCTTGGCCACAATATTTACTGTGAGCTTTAAGAGAAGCACAGCAGGTGCTGGAAGAATGTGGGCTAAGGGACTTTGCCATCTGCCCGTTCCTGGGCCAGGGGGAGATCCAGAGAACTCTCAGCTATTATCTCCACGAGAGCAGGACCATTTCTGGAATTGAGAGACCCGGATGCGGAAGCTGGTTGCCTGGCTGGGAAGGCAGGTCATTGGGGGCACCCGCAGGATCTGCCCCCTGCAGAGGAAGCCGGGCCTGGCAACAGCAGGGGCTGGCAAGGAGAAGATGCCAAGGCTTCCTGTGGGCAGGACCGTGGAGTAGTCGGATCTCTCCTGCAACCTTCCAGCCGACAAGGCACAGAGCAGTCTTTACTCCCGGGCTCAGGGTCAAGCTATTTGTTGGGCTCCTTGACAACATGAGTTCAATTCCCACTTGGCCAAAGATTTATTGGATTCTCAACATATTCTTAGGCTTGGAACACCGAAACTTGCAGCCCAGGGAATTGCCAACCAGCTGTGTGACCTGGGGCAAGTGACTTCATCTCCCAGAACCTTTTGCCAATCCTTAACCCTCCCAGGGCAGGGGGAGACCCAGTGAAAGAGGCGGAGTCATATCGTGGTTAGAGCATCACTTAGACCAAGCCAGCATCCTGGCTCCTTCACTCACTCCCAGTGTGACCCGGAGAAAGTCACTTGACTCACTGTGCCTTGGTCCCCTCATCTGTCAAATGGGGGAATAGCATACCCCATAGGGCTCTGTGACAGTCAATGACATTAATGGCTGTGGAGCACTGCACATGTAGCAAAATGCTAGATATGAATCCACTACAAGTCTTTTTCATTTGACAAACAATTATGGAGCCCCTGCTGGGTGCTAGGGACACAGAGGTAGGCAAAAGGGACAGACTCTTATTCCTGTACCATATAGAGTACAGGAAGGGGAGAGCCACCAGGCAAGTGTCATATCAATAAATGTACAGGTATAGTGACACATTCCTATAATCTCAGCACTGGGGAGGCTGAGGCAGGAGGATTCCAAGTTTCAGCCCAGCCTGGACAACTTAGCAACATCCTGTCTCAGGATAAAAAATTTTTAAAAAGGACAGGATGTAGCTCAGTGTGAAGACCACAGGTTCAATCCCCAGTACCTCAGGAAAAAAAAAAGAAAGAAAGAAAAGGAAAAAGGATGACATTCCTGGTTAGATTCAGGTTGGGGGTGATTCCCACAGCCTGAGACAGAGAACACTGGAAAAATACCAAGCCCTAAAGGGAGACAAAGGACTGGGATGTGGGAGAGAGGACCTCGGATCTGACTGACTTTAGCGGCGACAGAGTGACATCAGCACTTAGAGCTGTCCTTGGACACAGGCAGGGGACATAAAGAGGCCTGAAGCTGTGCACATCAAGGGAGGCGAGGCCAAGGCCCAGTGGCTAAGCAGGGGAGGCTGAGGCTGGAGGAGACTGGCCAGGAGGTGTGGTGACAGGGGTGCCTGGTGCAGAAGCCAGGCCATCAGATGTCAGGGAGGAGTGGGGCCCCCCAAAGCTATCTACAGCCTGATTCCCAGAACCGGAAGTATAAACTTACATGGCAAACGATGTGACCCCTGGAAATCTTGAGAGGAAGAGTTTGTTCTGGATTATCCAGATGGAGTCTGGATGACACTTTGCATCCTCAAAACAGAGGCAGAGAGAGTTTTGAGACTGCACGCATGCACACACACACACACACACACACACACACAGAGGCATAAACACATGTGCTCATACACACACCCCAGGAAGCAGCAACACGACCACAGAAGCAGAGACAGGAGTAATGTGGCCACAGGCCAAGAACACCTGGTACTGCCAGAGGTGGGGAGAGTAATGAACAGAGGATGCCGAACCTTCGGAGGGAGCACGGCCCTGCCAAGACCACGATTTTGGACTTCTGGCCTCCAGAACTGTGAGAGAATATATTTCTAGAACAGAAAGCTACCAACTTGTGATACTTTGTTACAACAGCCCCAGGAAATCTATACAGCCAGGCCCAGCCAGGTCAAGGGCAGTAGGGCAGAAAGATGCCCCTTGGTCTAAGAACACAGGCACTGGGGACCCTGGGGTGGTTCTTGACCCCGGCTGTCCATTAGGGGCACCAAGAAAGCATTGGAAAGGCACCAATGCCTGGGCCCACCCCAGACATTAAATCACACTCACTGGGGGTGGAACCAGACGCTCACTGGGATGTTTGTGTTTTCGAGGTAAGGGGATTGACCCCAGAACCCTGTGCAGGCTACACTAGTGTCTACCACTGAGCTACATCCACAGTCCTGGTCTGTTTGCTTTGTCAACTCCACTTTTTTCTTTTTTAAACATGCAGTGAAAGTTAAAAGCCAGTGCCCCGGAAAATCTTTTCAGAGGTCTGAGTAGGGCCAGGACCATATAAGAGGAAGGCAAAAATGGACATTTGAAAATGCAGAAAATTTTAACTGTCCTCTCACGAATTTTACTCCTGAATGTGGGACTAATGTGTGGGAGGGGCAGCAGGTATTGGGTGAAGAGGAGTGTGAGGTGGAGTGACTTGGTTGTCTGTTCACATGGGTAGAAGCCGGGTACAGTTGTGCACACCTATAATCCCAGCACATAGAGAGGCTAAGACCAGGCAGCTTAGTGAGACCTTGTCTTTTGCTGTTGTTGTTGTTGTTTTTTGAGACAGGGTCTCACTGTGTAGTTGAGACTGACCTGGAACTCACTGTATAGCCCAGATTGGTCTCGAACTCTATAGCGATCCTCCTGCCTCAGGCTCCCAAGTGCTGGGATTACAAGTGTGTGCCACCATGCCCGGCATGAGACCTTGTCTTAAAAATAAAATGTTAAAGGGGCTAGGGATGTAGCTTGGTGGCAGAGTACCCGTGGGTTGATCCCTCGTATCAGGACCAAAAACTGGTGGAGTTAGGCATGGTGACACCTTGGACGCTGAAGCAGGAAGATGGCGGGTTAGAGGCCAGCCTCAGCAACTTAGCAAGCCCATCTCAAAATAAAATGAAAAGGCCTGGGGATGTAGCTTAATATTGGAACACTTACCTAGCATGTACGAGGCCCTGGGTTTAATTTCCAGGACTAAAACAAAGAAAATAAACATTGGTGGGGATGGTAGACATTAAGAGAGAAGGGCAGCAAAGTTGGGGGAGGGTATAGAATGCAAAACCAGGCCTGAGAGCAGGGGAAAGAGGCACTGAGGCCAGGAGGTGGCTGTTTGCCCCACAGGTCTGCAAGGCTCCTTCTGAGGAAAGGATTTAAATGCCAAGGCAAGACACCCTTCGGTTCGCTGCTCTGGCCAACAGCTAGCGATGTTCAGGGTGGCTGCTGTCCGGCCTGCCTGGGTCCTGAGTGACCACCACAAGCAGAAACCTCACTGGAGACCGAGGAACGAGGGCATGAGCAAGAACAGCTCCCTCACCATTGCGGCCGATGTCGGTCCTGCAGCACAGAGCAGCCTGTCCCGGACGACCGAACACCTTCCTGTGCTCGGAGTCCCAGACTGGGGTGAGACACGAGGCCAAGAGCTGTGTCCCAAGACCTGTGAGGAAAAACACAGGCGAGGGCAGCCGTGTACGCAGTGTGTCCAGAGCAGACGGTGTGGAGGAGCAGACGGATAGAAGTGGAGTCACAGGCGGGCAGGAGCGAAAACAAAGAGGAGGGCGGTTCCAGGTGGGAGGGACGTGGGCGCTGGGCGTCCCACACAAGCAGGCTGGGAACTGGCCAGGGATCTCATCTCGGGGGCCACAGCACAGCGTTTCCCACGCGAGCGTTTTGAATAGGAGAGGAGCCTTCTAAAAAGCTTTTCCTCACCGGTAGGCAGAGAGCTAGCGGGAGGGAAGCCTGAGCAGAAGACAGCACTGCCTCCGTGTCCGGATGCGGACCAAAAGCGCGGGCAGGACATGTGCAGCCTTGGGCACGGGGCACAGCAAGCTGCACGTCGCAGAGTACCTTCCATGCCCCACAGTCCTTGTCTGTCCTGTCTGTGGCCACCCAGACACATTTTGGGGGAGGGATGAAGGCAGGAGCCATCTTCACTGGTAGGCCAAGCTCAGGTAAGGGTTCTACCGAACCTTCCAGAAACCTGCCAAGAAGCCTGCTCACTCTGGGCCAAGGTGGGAAACCAAGGCGGGGATCCTGCTCTCCTGACTCCATTCCAGGAGAAGGAAGAGCGGGGTGTCTAACATTTGAGAATCTATCACGTACATGTCTTACTTCATCCTCACCACCAAGGAGGGACTTTGCTCCCATTTTATAGATGAGGAAAAAGAGGCTTAAAGAAATATCTAAAGACCCAGAGTCACTCAGTGATGGGATCAGAATTTGAACCCGGGGCTGGCGCCTGAGCTCCTAACCACTATACTAAATTTTATCTCACTTCAGATATAGCAATAGCAAAGCTAATAAGAGGGCTACCTGCTCTCATCAGTCCCTTTATGTTATTTACTCTTGACCCCTTGGCAAGGTACACATAAGCCCTTGTTGCAGACATGGCAATGGACTTGCCCCGTTCAGCTCTGCGAAGTTCAGGGACCTTCCCAGGATTACACAGATTGGGTGGTGGAGAGAGGGTGGAGCCTAAATCCTGCTCATGGGCCACACACAGAACCACCCCAGCCCTCATGCCAAGCCTGAACCCGGCCTCCTGACCTCTGGATAGGAGCCTCATGCCCTCGCTCTGTATTCGCTCTCCTCAAGGCTGACCCGTAGCTGACCCGGAGTCTTCAGAACAGCAGGAAATCCTCCCAGGGCTGATGCGAACAGGAAGCAGCCCCAGTGACTGACAGGTATTTGCTGCGTGCTGGGAACTGGGGAAACACACTAAGTCCTGGCTCTCGAGGGATGTCAGGCAGGTGAGGCCTGGAGCAGCGCATTCACACCCTGCATCAGCTCAGGTTATGGGTGTTGGGGGCAGGGCCAGGCGAGGACATGGGTCCTAGACTCCTTGGCCAGATTCTCCCAGGTCTGGCTCAGGTTCTCAAGGGCTGGAGGGTGAGCAGGGCTGCCTGGCTCCCAGACAAACCCAGTCAGAAAGTTTTGCCCTGGGATCTGCTGGCCTCCAAGCATGCTACTGTTGGTTTTTACCCCACTGACATTTTGTTCACTTGTGCAACACAGCTGTCTCCCCCACCAGCACTTTCCAGAGAGCAGGGACCTTGTCAGTGTCATCCCACTGTGTCCTCAGTGCCTGTCACAGCTCCTGGCACAGCAGAATGTGCTGTCGGTATGGCCAAGTGCTGGCTTCAGCGATGCTGGGTCTCCTGCCTGCTGTGAGGAAGGGGCTGACCTCTCTGTCTTGGGTCTGGCAGAGAACCCAGACAGGGGCAGAGTAGCCAGGGCTGCCTGACCAGCCCCTGGACCCTGAGCACCACAACCAGAGCCCGGATGAGCCATGGTCGCCCTCTTCCTGGCCCTGCTCTTGGCAATGAGCTTGGTGGTGCCAGGGGCCAGTGCCTTACACCCCTATGGTTTCTCAGGATGAGGCCAGGAAACAGCAGTCCTAGGCCACCAAACTGTTACAGCCCCACCTCCTCCAGGAAGCCCTCTCTGCTCAGCCCCATCTGGGCTCCTACAGCTGAGGCAGAGAATGGAGGTGGGTAAGCAGTTTCCTAGTGTCTCCTGCTGTCTTGGGGCCCGAATGAGCTCTGTGCTACTGCTGCAAGCCACCCCAGCAGTTTCCCACATGTAAGATGCGTCTTCTGGCTGAGGGAAATCACACTGGGCAGCAGATTAGGAACTTGTGCAGTTATCCCTGCTTTATAGGGACAAGACTGAGGGACAGGGAGATTACAGAACTTGCTTTTGGTCACAAGAGACTAAGGGGTGTCTCAGACTAATGAATACCATGGCCAAGTACTTGTGTAACCCTAAAACTGAAAGTTTTCACCCTGCCATGAGCTCCCTGCATCCTTCACTTTGAGGAGCCAGGAGGATGATGGGAAATTGTAAGCAGGATGAGTAAGAGCCGTGGTAAAGCCACTGCTGCTGAACCTGCACTTGGGGTCCATGACACAGGCATGGGTATAATTGCCACGTCGAAGAGAGAGCTGAAGCACAGTGCAATTAACTGATTCAAGTCCCCCCACCCCTGGAAGTGGGAGATTTGGACTCAGAAGGCCCGGCCTAGGGCCTCAGTTCAAACTTCTAGGCTGTTCTCCCTTGCTGGTCAACAGGACCACAGAGGCTACCTGCCCTCACAGCTGCTCTGGGGCCTCAGTGACTTGGGAGCAGTGTAAACCACCTCCCAGCATTCCTGTCCAGTGTCTCAGCACAGCGCCATTTCCCCACCCCCGGTGTCACTGCACGGACCCTCCCAGTCTCTACGGTGCTGAGGCCAGTGTGGAATCAAGAGGTTGGCTGGCCTCCCTGCCTCCTATTCTGACTTCCTCCCTCTCTGCCCAACAAAAGGCTTCCAGGAAACCCAGTCTCTTGTGTTCCCCCTGCCCAGCTGCCCTGTGAGTCAAATGGGTAACGCAGGCTCTCCCAGGGGCATGTTTGTCTCAACAGGTGGCTCTGGGAACTGAAAGACACTGAGAGCCCAGTGAGATAAAGCCAGGGCTTTGTCTCCGGAAGGTGAGAACCAAGAGCAACCCTGCAGGTGGGGAAGCTAAATCCACAGCCTCAGGAAGGCCTGCACATCTGAGGGCCTGCAGAGCCCACTGCTTCCTGCAAGTCTAGAGAAAAAACGCTGGAAGCCACATGCCCATCCCCACCACGATGTCGACTTTTTCCATCCCATCCTAGACGGCAGACACCTAAGGACTTGCCTGACCACAGTAGGGATTCAACTCCATTCTGCTTGAAGCAAGGCACTGGCTCACGTTGCTGCCCTCCCTGGAACTTCTCCTCACGTCATCCATTGTTTGTTCGGGGTTTTTTGGTGGGGTGTCTTTTAGTTTAGCTTTTTTTTCGTCCTTCACAAAAAGTGACTGGTAAATTAGCAAAGCAGTTAACTACATCACATCAGTTTGGGGTTATCTGCTGCTTTCTGGCCACGTGACTCTACCAACTTCCCTCCCCACTCTGAGTCAGTTTCCTCATATGTAAATGAAGATAACAGACAACGGCGGCGAACGCGAAAGGGTGAAGAGAGGTAAAGTGGTTAGGAAAGTATGTAGCAAGAGGGAACAGCCCCAGAGGAGAAAGAAGCGCTCTGGTTCTCAGTTAGCCCCAGTTTCTTTCTGCTTGAGGAAGGGACAGCTTAGAAGCAGTTGTTCCATCCTGAGCCAGTTCACTACTTCAGGGCGCTCGGTCCTGTGTAGCCTTGGGCAAACCTTTTCACCTCCCTAGGTCTCTGCTTTTTCTTCTCTGAGATAAATCACTGAAGGGACTTGCACTCTGGACCACTCGAAGGACAGCCACGGTCATTATTATTATTACTATAACACTGCTCTTGAGGACACAGGGCCTCAGGATTCTCGGCACATTTCTTGTGGACAGAGTGATACCAGCCACCCACCCACCCCTTTCCACCTTCTCTAGTGCCCAACAAGTGCTCAGGGAGCTTCTGTTGGAAAGACACAATCACACAGGGTAAGCCACGGTCTGGGCCTGTCTCAGGGCCAGCAGTATTAGCACGGTTTACCTGGGAGCCTGCTAACGGCAGCTCAGGCCCCACCCAGACCTCCTCCATCAGAGTGCGTTCAACATTCAAAGGCAGGTGATATGAATGCACATTAAAGTTTGAAAAGTGCCACCTGCCTTCTTAAAGCAGCTACGTAGGAGAAGCTGCAAGTGAGTGTAAGTATGAGAGGCTAAGGAACCAGTGAAGGCCTCTGTCCCAGAAGAAATATCTGCATCTGGGCCCTGGCCCCTTCATACCCAAGTCTCCGGCAGAAGCAGCTCCAGAGATGGTCAGTGGCACGGGACTTTGAAGTCAGCCCCTCCAGGCTCCAACTCCAACTTGGCTACTTCCTAGCTGTGTGATCTCGGGCCTAGTTAGTCTGTCTCACGGGGATGACGCTGGCAACCCCACAGGGTCACTGCCAGGATCAGATGAATTCTTGTAGTTACCATGTTTGGGCGTGTGCACAAAACAACCAACTTCAGTAAGCTTCAGCCAGTGATACTAATAGTTACACTGATTATCATTATCTGACCACAAATACTTACTATCTCTCTACCCACAGAAAGCCCAGGAGCCGGTTCTGGTCACAGCTCCTCCTTCCCAATTCTCTTGCCAGCATCATTTCCTCCTTCCAAAGACATGAGGTTTGTGACACCTCAGACGTGGCAGTTGACTACCTCGCCTGTCAGGATGACTTTTTTTTTTCCCCCTTTTGGAACCAGGGATCGAACTCAGGACCTTACACTTGTGAGGCAGGCGGCGGCTACTGAGCTAAATCCCCAGCCCTCAGGATTAGTTTTTAGCATCCAAACACTCATGCACACAGGTGGTTCCCTGTTCCCG